ATATATATATATATATATATATATATATATATATATATATATATATATATATATATATATATATGTATTTGTGTATGGGAACGGAACTATGAATGTGGAAATATATGTGTATATAAATGTATGTACACTTTGTACACCTGCAGAGACAGACAAACATCCCGGTAGCACCGGAACACCCAGCCTTCACCTCTTAGTGTATGGGTTGTCTTTGTTTTTGTTTTTTTTTTTCTTCTTGATTACTTCTTCATCTCTCTGCATCCACAACTTCATATGGGGATCCGCGCAGGGGTTTGCAAACTCGAGTGTTAATATTGATCCCTGCTTACCCTACTGTATGCATGCTTTTTCTCCTGAATATATTGTGTAGTTTTGTTTGTGTATGGCTTTGTATACAGCGAACAAAGCAGCGAAAGACGTGGTGTTTGGTGTATGGGATAAGGGTAGATGTCAAGAACATAGACACCGACAAGGATCACGAAGAGAGATCGTCGGATCGAAAAAAGAATGCTGGGCGTTAGCTTTCCTTAATGGCGAAGCCGCCTCAGATCACCCTGTAACAGAAGATGAAAATTTTGGGACTTTTGGCTATTATTTCCCAAATACGGAACCAAATCAACCAAAATCAGGTAAATATATTAAAATAATTAAAAATAAATTCATAATCTGGGGTTTATACGCCTAAAATAAACTTTATTTTAGGGTGAATACGCACACATTCAGAAGTTGAATTTGTTGGGGTGTACGTACACCTGAACGAGAAGAAGATCGGCGCCACGGAGGCTTGCTATTCTTTATGTTGTATAATTTTAATGTATAATATGTGAAAATAAATATAAATTCATGGATAAAATGAATAAATAATCATGAAAATCACCATGATCGTGTGTTTTTTTTATTTTTTTTTTTATCGGTTTCAGGCGGTGCCGGTATGAATTTTGCAAGTTACTACCCGCTCACCAAGGAGTGCTGGATAGCTGAAGAGGTTCCCACTTGTTTGGTTCCAGTTGAAGGAGGAGTTGCATACACTGCATTAGGATCAGCAGAAGAAGAGGATCCTCCTTGTACTGATGACTTTCCTGCTTCTATAGGCTTTTGCAATCCATCCACATGCATGCAGCCTATTACGTCTTGTATTGATCATAAACTCGTCGCTACAGAACAAGAATGTATACCCGAAGATGGAAGCAAATGTATCAGAAACACGAAACAATAAACACTAAACCCTACACACAAACCTAAACCCTAAACAGTGAACCATTAAGGGGATAATGCGCTAATTAGTAGAGGGAATAGCAGCAGCAGCAGCAGCAGCAGCAGCAACTGCTGCTGCTGCTGCAAGGCTTGTAGGGTGTATTTGTATGCAAGCATATATTATTTATTGTTTATTGATTATTAATGGTAGTGTGTCAATGCGTTACAGCTTTTTTATTTTATTTTAATTCCATTTGGTTTTGTTTTACTTTAATTTTAATCTAATTTATTTGCATTTTAATTCACTTTATTTTATTTTTATTTTATTTTATTTTTATTTTATTTTATTTTATTTTATTTTTATTTTATTTTATTTTATTTTATTTTATTTTATTTCTGCTGCAGGTGAGGCGAGCCGCTCTAACGCGATGGTGATAGGCTTGGCTGCAGCGGGAGGCATTCTGCTGCTGCTGCTGGCTGGGGGGGCTGTTGCTCTGTACAGGTACTTTATATTATATTTATATTTACGTTTATATATTATAATATGAATAAATTATTGTTATATTATATTATATTTATATTTACTTTAATATATTATATTATAATATGAATAAATTATTATTATATTAATATTATTATTATATCCGTATATTATATAAAAATATTACAAAATATCGCATACAGCAGAAACCATGTACACCATATATACAACATATACAATATATATAGAACATTTATATATATAACAAACCTAACATAAAAAAAATATAAAAAAATATATTTTATGTTTCAGGAGCAAACGAAAACCCACACAAAAACAAGAGGGCGCAACTCGATCAGATTACGTGCAAGAGGAAGCAGCCGCCAGCAGAAGAAAGCAGCGACAGTCGGACCTAGTGCAGCAGGCAGAACCTTCTTTCTGGGGTATTTATATTTATTTTATTTATTATGTTTATTTATATTTATATTTATATTTGTGTTTGTGTTTGTGTTTGTATTTGTATTTGTATTTATGGTTTTTTTTACTTGTTTTTATATTTTTTAGTTTCGGTTTGGGCTTGTATTTATTTATTTTTTTTTTGGATTTGTATTTATGTTTACTTTTTTATTTTGTTTTCGTATTTATTTCTATATATTGTATTTATATTTATTATATATATATATTTATATTTATATATATTCATTTATATTTATATTTATGTTTTGTTTTTTGTTGCTGCAGAGGAGGCGGAGCAAGAAGATCCTGATGCAGCAGAGAACACCCATGTGTTAGTAGATGAAGACTACTAAGGATAAGATAAATAAATAAATAAATAAATAAACAAATAAATAAATAAATAAATAAATAATAAAACAATAAAACAAAACAAAAACAACAAAACAACAATAAAATATGAGACAAGCAGATGCACAAAGAAAAAAAAGAAAGAGAAAAAAAAAAGAAGAAAAGAAAAAAATAGTGTATTATATCGATTAGATAATGCGGGTTTACTTTTTCTTCTGTTCATCTTTTTTTATTTTCTTTTATTTATTTATTTATTTATTTATTTATTTATTTATTTATTTATTTATTTATTCACACAGAAGGCTTTTATTTGCTCCCTTGTATCTCTGCCTAAACCCTAAACCCTAAACCCTAAACCCTAAACTTTGTCTGGAGGGCATTTTGTTCTTCTTTCTTTTGCTTATCACTCCTCATTTTCTTCTTCTGTCAGCTGCTGCACCGCGCTGCACTGCTCTACAGCAGCTGCATCATCATCATAAAAAACATGCATGCAATTTGCTGCTGTTGCTGTTGCTGCTGCTGCTGCTGCTGCTGCTGCTGCAGCAGCATGCACAACGGCAGCAAACATGCAAGCTTGTTTAGTGCCGTAGGGGGAGGAGGAGCGTTGAAGTCAAACGCCGCTGAGCAGCAGCAACAGCAGCAGAAGCAGCAACAGCAGCAGCAACAGCAACAGCAGCTGCAGCAACAGCAGCAGCAGCAGCTGCAGCTGCAGCTGAAACCAGTTAAGCCGCAGTCGCCTCCCCTCTTTGCCTTTCTTCTGTCTCGGAATGACGTAGGGGTATTGGTAGCGATAGCTGCGTCAGCAGCAGCAGCAGCAGCAGCAGCAGCACCAACTGCAGCAACTGCAGCAACTGCAGCAGCAGCAGCGAGATGAGGAGAGGTAGCAGCAGCAGCTTCGAGATGTATAACAGCAGCAGCTGAGAGAAGTGAGAAGGAAAGAATTCCGTTTAGTGCTGCGTCGCTTGCTGCAGCAACTGCAGCAGCAGCAGGCGCAGCAGCAGCAAATGCAGCAGCAGCAGCAGCTGCTGCAGAAGCAGCAGCAGCTGCAGCAGCAGCAGCTGCTGCAGCAGCAGCAAGATGCTGCGAATTATTTTTGCTTTTGCTGTCTTTTCTTCTTAGTTTTTGCATTTTCAACGCAGTAACAGCAGAGACCCCGCGGTAGTACTAAATTTTATTTATATTATAAATAAATAAATAAATAAATAAATAAACAATAAAATAAATTAATAAATAGGTAAACTAGTTAAATTAGTTAATTTAATTAAACTAATTAATTTAATTTAATTAATTTAATTAGTTTAATTGATGCAGAGAGAATTTCATAGACAGAGAGTAATGGTTGATGGTAGTAAGGGGCTGCTAGCAGCTGGTGAGGTGTGGGTGTATAAATAAAAAGGAAAAAAGAAAGAATGCATGCAACAATTAAAAAGAAATAGAGTTTATTGATGTATTTATAATAAAAGTAAATTTAAATTGATGATTTCGTTGCGTAAATTAAAAAAAAAATATGAATTTGTTTTCTGCTCTTGAGGTGTACAGGCAGACACTCGAAACGGTGAAACATGAATATGTACATAAGAGGTTTTTTTTTTGTGTATTTTCTGCGAAAAAGGAGAAAATAAAATTGAAATAAATGAAAATAAAATTAAAAAATAAATTAAAATGATTTAAAACGATAAATAAAACTAAATATTCTTCTTTTTCTCCTCTCGCAAAAACAGAAATTTCAGGTGTATGTACACCTCGTGTGCAGAGAACAGATGAAGGGGAAACAGAGAGGCGGAGCAGCAGAACTCTGCCATATATATAATCATTGGAATCCTCATAAAGATCTCTTTTTATTTTTATATTTAAATATATTTATTTATTTATTTAATTTAAAAAAAAAAGAAAGAAAAAACACCAGGGTTCTGCCTGCTGCCCGCCTTGCGAGCATCGCATTCATTCATCGGGGCCCCCCTACCAGTACCCTCATATTGGGTTTGTGTGTATTTGTTTCTGTTTGTTTTAATGCAAATTTATTTTTTAATTCATTTAAAATGTTTTGTTTTATTTATCGAGGGTTTTTTCTCACAAGAAATGCAACAAAACCCCCCACTTGCAGCCACTGAACGCCCGCGCTCGTGAGGTGTCTAGGCAGCTGCATTTGTTTCTCTTCAGTTGCCATGTCTCTCTAAACCCTCACAATCCTAATTAACCCTAAACCCTCATAAACCCTAAACTCTCATACACCCTACACCCTTGCAAACCCTAAACCCTCACACACCCTAAACCCTCACAAACCCTAAACCCTCACCCCCCCCCTATGCCGACACTCATCCATAAGCCTAAACCCTTATAAGCCCTAAACCTTCGTAAACCCTAAACCCTCATAAACCCTAAACCCTCATAAGCCCTTACTTCTCCTAGCCCTCACACACCCTAAACCCTCACAAACCCTAAACCCTCACAAACCCTAAACCCTCGTAAACCCTAAACCCTCGTAAACCCTAAACCCTCAGGATGCCTCCAGGAGGCGTTGCCAAGACGCGTCGTCAGAACCCTAACTGGAACAACAAACCCTCAGGGCAGCAGCAACAGCAGCAACAGCAGCAGCAGGAGGAGCAGCAGCAGCAGCAGCAGGAGCAGCAGCAGCAGCAGCAGCAGCAGCTGTCTCCCCGCCTGAACAGCAGCAGCAACTCTGGCGTTGAATCCCCTGTAGGCAGCAGACGCCGCAGCACAATAGAGAGAGAGAAGAGACAGACAAGCAGCAGCAGCAAGCAACAAACAAGCAGCAGCAGCAGCAACAGCAGCAGCAACAAACAACAAAAAACTGAACAGACAGATGAGCCCCCACACAACAACCCGGGTGTATCTCCAGGTGTACGTACACTGCGAGGTGTACATACACCGCAGCAGCAAACAGCTGCTGCAGCAGAAGACGCAAGCCAGCTCTTGAGCCCATCAACCGCAGCAGCAGCAGCAGCAGCAGCAGCAACAGCAGCAGCAGCAGCAGCAGCAGGAGCTGTATCTCCGTCGTCGTTTTTATATAAAGGGGCAGATACACCCTCTATTTCCAGTGTACATACACCTGAGCTTTCTGCTGCTGCTGCTGCTGCTGCTGCTGCAGCAGCTATCGATGCAGCAGCACAGAACAACGACCCAGCTGTCTCCTCACCAAGCAGCAGCAGCAACAGCAGCAGCAGCAGCAGCAGCATGCAGCAGCAGCAGCGTTTGTTTATAAGCGGAAGCAAAGAGACAAACAGCTGCTGCAGCATAGCTGCCTGTACACCCCAACCATCCTCCCCACCACCACCATCACCCTCACCATCTGTATTTTCTTTTTCTTTTTTATCTTTTTCTTTTTTATCTTTTTCTTTTTTTTCTTTTTCTTTTTTTTCTTCTTCTCTCTGCATGCATTTGTTTCGTTCTTTGTTCTCTGTGCTGCTAGCCTGGGTTCAGGACCCTCTTATATCTTTTCTTGTTGCAGCAGCAGCAGCAAAACTAAAAGCAGCAGCACCGCTTGCTGTTGCTGCAGCAGGAGCAGGCAGCCAGCTGCCTGACGGTCTCTGTCTGCTGCTTGCTGCTCTAGGCGTTGCTATGACTTCTATCTGCAGCAGG